TATATATATATAATCTCTTATTTTCTCCACAAAGAAAAATGTGTTATTCTACGAACTTATGCTAATAATAATATAATATACTTGAATCGATCAGATAACGCTAACAGTGAGTAATTCAACATTTTAAATTACTAAAATCTGTTGGGTGTTGCAATAAGGAAAAAAAAAAAAGTAAAGAAGTGAAAAATGAAAATCATATCAAAGAGGGTGTATAAAGAGGTCCCACAACCAACCCAGCCTCGGGTTAGCTTATTTTGTCAGCCAAGTAGAGAGAGAGAGAGAGAGAGAGAGAGAGAGAGGAAGAGGCGTTCTAACAGTGAGAGCGGAAGGTAGCGAAGGGCGAAGGCGGAGAAACAAATGGATCCAGACGCTTTGTCGAAAGCATTCGTGGAGCATTACTACTCCACCTTCGATACCAGTCGCGCTGGTTTAGCTAACCTTTACCAAGAGACTTCCATGTTGACTTTTGAAGGTCAGAAGATCCAAGGCTCTCAGAACATCGTTAACAAGCTCACATCTCTCCCTTTCCAGCAGTGCAAACATACCATCACCACCGTCGATTGCCAGCCTTCTGGACCTGCCGGCGGTATGCTCGTCTTTGTCAGCGGCAATCTCCAACTTTCCGGAGAGCAACACGCTCTTAAGTTCAGTCAGGTCTTTCATCAACCACCTTATCCTTTCAATTATGTATCCTTTCCCCTAATTCTGGATCTGATTATTTGCTTTCTATGCATAATTGATGCTCAGATTTAGATCATCAGATACTCTAATCAAACTTTCAAACGTTAATTAAGTAATCAGAAAAATCTGGATTTAATGTTCTAGCATACGACTAGTATCGCTTAAAGTTTCATAGAGACTGCTCACTGCTCCTTCGCGTATGGAATTGATAATTGATCGTTCTAAAGAATGCTCCTGCTCGTCTGCGTGTATCAGTAGTAGTAGCTTAGAATTCCATTAAGAAATGAGTGCACCTCTGGCTCATAAAATTGGGCACTAGTTTACAGTTTTAACGGGAACACTCATATTGCATGTCGATTGTCATTTGCACACGATAAGACCGAATCCTATTACTTGTCATTGGAACTCTTTACCTTCCATCCGAAAACTAGTGGTTCACCTATTATTTTCTTCACTAGAGTTGTTTTTCAACTTTATATACATTTTATTATTATTCGTATATAGTATACACAACTGAATTCTTGCCATCTTCTATTACTTGTCATCAACACTGTATAGTTGTCTCATCAAACTTGATTTTGATGTAATTATTACAAAAATGATAGACTTGCTGTTATATGTTGTTGGAAGAGCCCAAGATGGGTTTCAGCTCTAAAACGTAGCCAAAAAAGAAAATTCTGAGTCTGCAAATGCATCTAATTGTTGCATATCTAGATATGTGAAATGTTGTAGTTTTGGGAGAATGAGATAGCCATAATAGGTAGTTCCATGTGTAATCTTGAGATCTGATATCTTACGTAGTTATTGTGGAGCTTTTAGAATATAAGAATATATATATATCTGTTATAAATTTGAGAGTCATAGGCTCATAGCTGATGACGATATACATACAGAGAAGGGAATAGAGTTTTAGAAGTTGTTTGTTTATGTTTTTAAGGGTTGTGTATGTGTGTGTGCAGATGTTCCATTTGATGCCAACAGCACAAGGAAGCTTTTATGTGTACAATGACATATTCCGCTTGAACTATGCTTGAGGTTTGGTTTGATTTGATTTGGGTCTGTATGTCTACAACTACAACCAAAGGTGGGCCCAATTCCAGAATGTGGTTATTTACTTTTTGGTGTTTTTAAGATATCATTGAACCATCCGAAAGAAACTTCTATTTTATGACTCTTGCCTATTTGATAACTGTAATTTGATGAATTGGTTTGGTTGTATATGGCTTGGCTTGGCTACTTGTTAAATGTTGTTGAAATTAAGCACACACTACTACAGTGTTCGCTTTTTTGTTGTTTCATATTCGTAAGTTGGAGCACAGTAGTAGGTATCAGGACTAAGTTTGAATCAACTGATGACATTTGTGTTGTGGTAGGCTGGTAAGCAAAGCATGATCTTGACTTTGTTTAAACTATAAATTTGCATTGAAGGATCAAAACAAGGATGGATTTAGTATTTACACATGCTGGGTTAAGAAAATGAAATAGAACAAAGATTGGTAAAAATTTCATGATTTGTGTCGTAATTGAGTGGGATTATTTAGTTATGTTTAAGTACGCGTCCAAAACTGGTTGGAATGATGTCATGTCATGGGTAGCTACTGTCCAAAACTGTCTTTAAACTGTCAAGTTTCACAAGTATCTTTGGGCTCTTTTAGTTCTCAAAAATTGAGCATACCGACCATATGCATCAATTTAGACAATAAGGACGTTTCATTGTCAAAACTCAAAACATGTCATGTTGTTTACTTTGGTTTATCTCCGAACAAATTTCTATTTGCCCGTCATATTCGTGATAAATATTGGGATCCAAAACCAAAATATTATTTTACTGAGTTATACAACCTTCAATTATATAGCCCAATTAGTCTGGAATTACTTTTTTTTTTTTTTTTTTTTTTTTTTTTTTTTTTTTTTTTATTGCTACCAACGCTATCATAATTCATTTGATGCTTCCATCAAACACTAAACACTGTCGTGTTGGTTTCCAACTGACTATAACAAAAAACGATTATAAAATATCTGGATTTCGAATTTATGAAATCAAATTATGTTTCTTTCCATGAAATATGGTGCTTTTATCAAATTAAAAAGATTTACTAAAGATACTTGAAAATAATGCAAGACAGAAACTGAGAAACATATGTTTATTATTCTAATTTTTGGTGGAAAGTTTAAAGCCCTATTCATTATTTTAATTTATTATTAAATACCTATTGAATTAAATTTATACATAAAAGTAACAACTTTGTTTATGGTTTTTACTTTTTTACAAAAAAGGCAAACCAACCTAAAACTCTGTTATTCAGAATAGTTGTGGTTTTTTAGTTATCAATTTTTGCACACCATTAGTTAGTAGTTACAAGTTGCTACTTGCTACCGACTCACCATTATTCACTGTAGAAAGGACGGACGTCGATACTGCAAAAATAATTGCAACATTTTTTACAATTCTGAATCACAATCTCACAATCCTCTTCCTTTTTCAGCAACTGTTACGGGAACATATTTTCTATACTCTCTAATATATATATGGTAAAAAAATATATCTATTCAAACATTTTTTTTTTTTTTTTGTTTTTGTTTCTGGAGATCTTAAAGTTAGCTACGACTGGAGTTTGTTGTTCCTTAGCATAGCAAGAAAATACACAAAAAGGAAAGGAAAGGAAAGGAATATGGTATGGGTTGATATAAAAGTTGTAAAGAGAAAGAGAAATTACAAGAGTTGTTATTAATAAGCTGTACAATACAATAGCAGTAACTGGTGCTTGCTAAGCATAAATATGTATGTCTAGTATGACAAGAAGCAGAATAAGAAACAAACCATAGAGCACTGCATGAAGTAACATGGAGATTACACTCGTCTTCATGTTCATGAAACCAATTGGCGATTCATTCCCAGGCATCTGAAACACCAGCCCTGGTGCTAGAAACGCAAACAGAGCTGCAGCTACGATAGGAGCCGCCCAGTCATGCATTATGATTTATAATTGTCTCAGATCAACAACAACAAAACAAGAATACGAGAAGAAACTAAGAAGAAGATGCCATTTTCATGTCTTGATAGATGGGGCAGGGGTAGAAATGGAATGGGAATCTGATAAAGGTAAAGAAGAAAGAAAAAGCATCCAGCCACTTTTTGTGCGTGTTTTATGGTGGTGGTGGTAGGAAAAGGTAATAAGGCTTTATCTATCAATCGCATCAATTAGGGGACACAAGCTACCTTTTTCTTTCTTTAATTCAGTAATAAACATTTGGGAACAACAAACAAATATGATTGATAAACGGAAAACGGTTTTCATTAGATGTACAAGTTTAATCCTCACAAGAAAACGAGAGGACTTGTGGTGCTTCGTTTTCCAGAGAGAATCCTTCGGTCCGAAAGTGAATCATCCCAATTAAATGATTATCATTATTATTATTATTATTATTATTATTATTATTAGTGTAACCGCTGCTATTCAGTCCTGTTACATAATTTGGTAAGGGAAGATGTGGAATAGTGAAGTAGTTTGGGTTTGGGGCGGTGTTATTTGACAGAAGAGAGAGAGCACCATTGGCATTGGGATTGGGCTTGGGCTTGGGCTTGGGCTTGGGCTTGGGTTCAAATAATGTTTGTCCTACTGATGCATCAGAGTCAGGGGTGCCCAAAAGGAATGGGAACTTTTTCTCCCTTGAGGATGATGATGACGATGATGATGATGGTGTGACTATGTTTTGCTTGTTTAACTTTTCTTTATCGGTGGGCCTGGGCCAGGGCCATCTCATTCCCAGGGGACTGCTACAAGTTGTGTATGCTGGTGAACCACCAAACCGCACCAGTTTTGTACCTGTAATCAAATGTAATGTAATTTACAGCAATAATAATTAAGTAAACACACACATATTTGTGTTTGTGTTTAAATCTGAATTGTGATTCACAAACCTGGATAATTGGTGAAAAAGGTCTCATACATGGATGATTGTATCCCCCTTGGTTTCCTCCTACGCCTGTTGTGACCATCAAGACGCTTCCTACAACTCCGCTTCACTTCATCAAATTCCCCAACTGAATGGAATCTATCAAATGCACCTTCAACTCATCAATCACTCTCCTTGTTTCTCTACATATACACACTAAACTAAGGGCTTGTTTTTTTTCCCTATTAAGTCTTGTATGGGTAACCAAAATGTTTTTTTGTTAAATTGATACCCGCCAAAGTTTGAGGGTTCAAGTAAGAATAGAGTATGGGGTGTGTGAGTTCCCCTTCTAAAAATGAGTCTTGTATGGGTAAAATAGTTGTTTGAATAACATGTTGATTACATAAAGTTTGTTTTTTTTCCTAGATTTAATAAAACCATCTTTTAACTTTACATTATTTTTTTTGTAGCAATATTATCAATTTTTATGTTGGATGAAAGAAGAAGAAGTGCAAATAGGTAATGCCTTAATACATTAAGCCAGATTTTTTGGCTTTAACCCATTAAGCCAGGTCATTAAGATAGCTGTCCAGATTAAGTGCTTAACCAATTAAGCTCGTTAAATTGAAAAAAAAAAAAAAAAAAATCCCCTGGCTAATATGTATGGAAACAGAAAGCAAGGCAAATAAAAGGGTTATGGAGGGAGTACCTACTGCACTGCTGGCAAAACCTTTGGTGTTTGCCAGCTATGGCGACAACTGGTGTCTTGGAATGAGCTTCACAAACCCTATGCCGCCGATGATAGTCTCTGCATCTACTGAGGTCCGCTGTGCATCCATCCACTAAACATGACACACCATCCCCACGTGGCTTCTTGGTTGGTTCGGAAGAAGTGGTTGAACTTGAACCCAATGTTATACCAGAGTCCACAGAGAAAGCCTCAGCCTCCATATTTTGATTATTTTCCATCACCTGCTGCAGCACATCAAACTCATCTCTCTCCAGTTCACTCAAGTACGACGATGCTTTCAAAACCCAATCCATAATCCCTAAAACTTCAACTTACAACCACCTGAAACTGAAAACGCACAGCACATGAAATAGCTTCATCTTATATCAGATCATAATTTGACAATTTTGAGGAATCTAATATATATGACGATCACATGGTAGCCACGCCCACGAGTGTATCAGAAAAGCTGGAAAAAAGTGAAAACGAACACAGAGAACATGGGAGCCACTCATAAGAATCAAAATTGCAAAAAGGTGAGAGAGGTATAAAGAACTTACAAAAACGAAGGAAGAAAGTTGATTCTTTCTTGAAATTTGCTAATTTCACCAACACCTGACATTTATTTCCAACTCCAACATAAATATATAAACCAGTATTTTAATCAAGCCAAGAGAGAGGGAGAAGGAGAAGAAGCCAATGATGAGTCGTGATTGATTGAGAGGGAGTTACATTACAATTACATACATATAATTTTTAATGGCACACATGCAGATAAAGGCAACAGGAAGTTAAAGGAGGACCATTTCAGAAAGAGAGATTTGCTATGTAGTTTTCTGCCTCCCAAATGGTCCCCTGCGCTCAGGATTTTCAATTCAAAACCGGGAGCAGTTGAAGATGATGTTGATGTTAATGATTATCATTTATCAAACACATATACACACACACAGACGGAGGCTTGAAGTGAAAAATTGGGGTTGAGGAAGAAAGGCGAGGGCTTTCGTCGTCTTTTTCATCAAAGACCAACTCCATTCTTCGTAATACCTTCTTTTATCACACTTTTATGGATTTCTGATTTCAGCTTGATCATGTTTAAAATTGGTAATAATTTATCATGTTTTAACTAAAGTATTTAATTTGAGAAGTGACAAAAAAACAAAACTCATCTCTCTCCCATCGCACTCCATCTCAATTCAGCTCCGCTTTCCTTCTCCATGTCCTTGTCAAGGTCAACAACATCAATAAGAAAGCAATAAATAAAAAGATCGTATCCAAATACGATTTTACCTCTCTTTAATAAACACAAGAATAGCATCCTATTCCTAGGTATGAATCCATGGCCATAAACATAACAATAAGAGTATTGTTTGAATCAAATGCTCATATTACTTCATCCGAATAGAATTATAAAATTTTAAATATTCTTTCGTCCTAATATGAATAGGGTTTGGTTTTAAGTTTTTTATATAATTAAGAGTGTTTCAGAGTGCTTAGGGCCGTAAATGACTGAACTAACACGAACTAATGGTCTGTTCATGTTTGTTCGTTTAAGTTAGCCGAACAAACGTACCAATACGAACAGATAAACTGACAAGTTTTCCTATTTATGTTCGTTCGTTTAACAAGTTACATTGTTCATGTTCGTTCGTTTATGTTCGTGAACATGCTAAACGAACAAAGATAAACAAATACAATTGAACATATATGAATATAAACAAACATATAATATAGTAACGTAATAATAAACAATTGAACATATATAAACATAAATAAACTTAAACAAACGAACATAAACAAAACGTAAACGAATGTTCACGAACATAAATGAACGAACAAGACCATTGTTCAAGTTCGTTCGTTTAACTAAACGAACGAGAATTTGTGATCATGTTCGTTCATTTATTAAATAAACAAACATAAACGAACATCTCACCGAATGGTTCGCCGAACGTTCGGTTCATTTACAGCTATAGGAGTGCTTATTCAAATTCATTAGACATTATTTTTGATAAAAATGTTTATTAGCTTATGTGGTGATAAAAATATTTAAGAAAAATATTTTGGATTAATTTATATGTCAAGAAGCTATAAGTGATAAACCATTTAAAAATAATGTATTTTGGTTGGCTTATAGTTATTTTATAGTTATTTTAAGTAAATAAGTTGTTGGTGATCTTAGTGTCACAAGACATTTTGTGTAATTGGAACTAATATGTTAACTAAGGGGCTTATGATTTGTACTCTATATTATATGTTTGGTGAGTGCGGAGTGCACGTATGTATAAGACCGACTTATAAGTCGGTACGACAAAATGGTGGGGTCAAGGGGGTCGTGCCCCCTTGCGAGGTCCTAGGGAAGATCCCCTGGCGGTCTTCGAAAATTTGAATTAGTATCATTATGGAAAATCTGAATTCTAATGGGTGATTGTGGTAAAATTGACAAATCTCGTCAGTTTCGGAAACCATTAAAAATGCCATTAATTCTGTGATTTACTTAACTAATTTAGAGGACGGAAACCCTAATTGTCAAGCATAGATACGACTCTTCTCTAGAGTCGACCACACCCTTCTCAACTCTCTTCTTCTCTGACGAACTCATAATTCTCTTGCAATTTGTGTAACATCCCAAAAACCAAGGTAAAATCTTCATTTCCAAAATACATTTTCATAAAATTCATAGAATAATCGAACATTGTTTCCAAAACAAAATCATAGATATCAAAGTATCAATATCATCTCTCAAAACATAAATCAGCAGGAGGATGTGTACGATCACGCCTTCGCCTTGCCTTGATCATCTAAATACCTAAAAATATTCAAATCCACAATTGTAAGCCAAAGCTTAGTGAGTTCCTCCAATATACCTCACACAACAATACACATACAATGCATGCACACATGATCCTACAGTCTACCTAGATAGCCTCGTAAGGCCTACAAGATGCTTGCATCGCTCTATCGAGCCTGCAGTCTACTGGCCCGCCTCACAAGGCCTACAGTAGCTTGACCGCTCCCTTGGGCCTACAGTCTGACTAGACCATCTCGCAAGGCCTACATTACACTGGACCACCCATGTATATTGACCTACAACACAAAGCAGGACCGCCTCAACCCAACCAACCACAATATGTCGACAAACAAACAAACAATGACCATCAATACATGTAATCATAACAAATATACCAATCTAATAGATTACTACAGCATACCAACATCCTACACACAAGGATACTGTAACATCCGAAAAATCAAGGTAAAATTTTTGTTTTCAAAACCACACCAAAACCATAAATTTTTTACAAAACATAGTTTCCAAATATCAAAGTAATAAATCAGAGTATCCCAAATCAAATCTCATAATATCCAAAGGATGTGCACGATCAAGCCTTCGCCTTGCCCCGATCATCTGAAGTACCTGAAACATAACACTTAAACTATAAGCCAGAGCTTAGTGAGTTCCCCCAATGTACCACACACAACCAAACAAATATACATATTACATGCTGGGTCCACAACCTCCCAGTTGGATTACCATGGCCCACAACCTCTCGGTTGGATTGCCACATACATTGCATACTGGGTCCATAACCTCCCGGTTGGATTACCTAGTCCACAACCTCCCGGTTGGATTGCCACTCTGGCCCACAATCTCCCTATTGTATTGCCCTGTTTTGTTGGCTTACAGCACAAAGCAGTACAGCCTCAACCCAACCACACTATATCGACATATGTAACAGATAATCATATAACAATCAAGTACAGGTAATCATATAAATCTACCAACCTAACATATAATCAACATAGCATCATCCTATATACCAGGATACATAACCTAGTGGGCCGACATTGGTGCCTTCGACCCACGAGTACACTGAGGAGAAACTCACCTCACAATCAAAATGTAGCTAAACAGATCATAGCTCCGACTGTTGACTCTACGTGTCACCTATACAATAAACAGTAACCTAAACTCAATCTACCATCAAAATACCCTTAAGTTAAACTTGGTCAAACCCCAAGTCAAAGGTCAAAAGTCAAAGAAAGTCAAAGTTAACTAAGAACACCTAGCGTACTCAGCCATTATGCCAAACGTAGGTGCGACTTCAGCCAAAATACGGGACACAAACCCCGTACGCAGCGTACCACTTGGTATGCCCAACGTACGTCGTCTGAACCCATTACTTCTCATTAAGTGTTTAATCCTTAAGTTTTTTCCATCCAAACTCAGATCTAGACTCTAACATCGTCTTAAGTCATAAAGTTTCCACCTTTATGACTTTCCATGGCTAGAAAATGTCCAAAAGCTAAAACCATAACTTATTAATCCATTACGACATCATAACTCTTGCATGGAAGGCATAGAAGGACCAATATCACATTTTTGTGGTTCCTAACACCTAAAAACATCTGAAAAGACAACTCATATGGGTTAGAGTAAGCCATAGTCATGAACACCAAGCTTATGGGACCAAAATGAACAAAAGCTCCAAGCTAACAAGACCTAAACAAATACTCATCAAGTTTCAAAATTTATACCTCCAAATGATGTTTGAGGGTGAAACACTTCTGGATCCAAAGTGCCTTAAGCTTCTAAGATGGTTTCCTTTCCTTCTCCTTCCTTCAAGAACACCACAAATGCACTCTTAAGCTCACAAGGGCACACACAAGGAATTAGGGTTTTATAGGGACGAAAAAGGGGATGGAGGATGATGAATGAAGGAGTCTCAATGAGATAATGATTCTTAAATAGGGTTCAAACCCAAAAAATTAGGGTTTGGGTTTTTGCCACGTACGCGCAGCGTACGCACAAATCACGCGTTTCTTAGTTATAGAGCCATGGGACCATTTTTGCAATTTAATTTCATACTTAGGGTCAAAAATGGAAATTTACTAGACAAAGGATGTTATGATTCTCCCATACTTAAATTAGATTTCTTCCTCGAAATTGCTCCTTACAACACCCCATGCCATTTGGACAATCCTTCCAGAATCCCGGTCCGAACTAAGAAATCGACTTACATACCCTGTCTAATAATGAATAATTGTCCCACTAATTTTAATCATTGATGAACTACCATTACTCCACTACCCGAAATCAGGAAATCCAATACCTTGTCTAACTCCCAAGCAGGAAAAACCATCTCGGAACACAGTCAATACAACTTCACTTCACAATCTGAATCATACGGAACCCTTCCGACCCGAATTACCTTGTTGATACCACTAGTAACCAAAACCTCTAACTATTCACTGCTATTGAACCCTCCATTTGAAAACAAGGCGACTCCCAACATGAATCGCAACTAAATAACCGTTGTAGAGAAGCACAAACAACATCAACATATTCCACAAACTTCCTTTAACCACTTCGAAATCAAAAAAATCTTATAAGGAAAACTCGAGAGACCACACGAAAACCCACGGCTGCCAACAAATAACTCAATAACTTGAAATTACTCAATCGCAATGTCTATCCTTCTCGCCCTAACTGTAAGACCCAACTTCCAGTGAGAACCACACAACAGGGAACCCTCGAAACACTAACCCCAACCAACTCCATCAATATACTTTCCGGAACCGGGAACCCATCAGTTCTAAACTTTAGAAACATACTCTAAGACTGATGATCATCCATTTGTCGCACTTACCCCTAGTTCCTTACTAGGAACACCACCAAAACATACAGAAAGAATACTCAACACGTACCAATCATGAATTCCAACCAATCCCAAATCCGGAAGTTGTGCCCAAAAACCTTAAACATACACTTGACTCCCTGACAAGTCACCACCAATCCACTGCTCCTATGAGAATAATGATGGTCCATCCAACAATTTCACGTTGCACCCAAATCCCTTATCAGCTCGGGTGTACATCCATCTGACAAATCACTCGAGATCTATACAACGAACTTCATAACCTGAGATTTTCAGAACTGATACCCTACATTGGTAACCAAACTCCAAATAAAAAACCCGCAAGCAAACATAGTTCATAATGCAAACACTCTGTAAGAGACTTCTGATGCACAA